GTCGTGACACGGATCTGGGTGTCAGCTGGGAAGCCAAAGGAAATTAGCAGACGGGGAAATATCGTTGATTTCTGAATGGGAACACGCCTAAAGAATTTGTCCACAGTGATGTAAAGCTCTCTCAGGCAAAGAAATAGGCTTTTGAGTGTAAAATAAGAGGTGTAGCAATGCTGGTGTAACATCTCCACCAGGAGACAAGTCATTTTACAAACTCGCATAGTAAAGAAGCTTCAAGTCCCCCACATAATCAAGCAGGAACATGGTGTTACTTGCAGAAAACACAGGTTTTCACTTTGCAGGGACTCGCTACAGAGTGTCTCTGCCTTTGATCTGTATATGCTGGTCTCCTTTGTTGGCACTAGGAGTTCTGCTTAGATTTTTTTCCCTTTCGGCCAACTTCAGAGGAAATAAGGTGCCCAGAAAACTACAACTGCTACTACTAAATTTCCATTTGGCACCAGCTAAACCAAGTAAATGCTCCTACTCAGATACAGGTCTGCTCTGGAGCAACGGCTTCAAACTAAAGTCAGCAAAGCTCCTCATAACTTGGCAGCTGGGACATCTCCCTGGCAGCAAGTCTGAAATTGGACTTCAAATTCACACGTTCCTGAATATTTACAGGATTTTTGGATCGTGATCTAAATCCTAAGCTTCACCCCTCGCTCCTTTTCCGAGTTAGGTACACAAACACTGACTGATCTGGATTCTTTCACACCTGAGCCCCATTCCATTGAATTTTCATGAACATGGTCTCGTCTTTTGAAGTAACCTGCACTTGCTACAAGCCAAAGCAGTGGCTGGTTTTTGCAGCAAGAAATGCTGACACTGCTGCAAGAAGGATTCCACTGTCCCTTGCTGGGTAAAGGCCAGTGGAGATGGATCCTGAATGAAACAGGGAAGCACCAAATCCTGGTTCTTATTGCCTCCAAAGCTGCTCTGCACCATGCAGACACTCTCGGGTGGTGTTGTGCTGGGATTAAGCGCTGCTTCCTTCAGATCTTTCCCTCACAGTATTAGAAAGATATAAATGAGAATTTAAGCCTGAACATCTAGTCTCGATTCTTTGTCTAAAGTATATATCACAACAGAGATGCTGACATATGGATCTTAATAAGAAATAATTATTCCTATTTGGTTACAAAAGCAGGCTACGATAGCTGGCAAAGCTTTCAGCCAGGGAAAGCAAACACAAAGCAAGGCTTTGGTCAGAAATCCACTCTAAGAGCAGCTTTAACAGTCTGACAATTTATCCCTCCACCTCCTCTAAATGACTGTTAACTATAGATTAACAACTCAATACCCCGAACTGTAGTACAAATCCCATCAGTGCTCCCCGCCTGCAGCAGTGCCCTTGGCCAGGTGAGCTCAAACCACCTCCAGCAGCAGCCTGAGGTCTCACAGGGGCCTTTCACATTCTGGTCCCCATCTCTGCTGCAGCATCCTCTCACTGGAGGGGATAACAAATAGCAGAGGTACTCATTTAGCCCCAAAAGTCGCTCCCACTCTGACCAGCTAACTACAGCTTCAAGCACAGCCTCCACTAAGAAAAGCTATTGCTATATCTGGGTGAATTATATTCCAAACTGTTGTGTACAGATTGACTCTACACACTAATTAACTGTTCTACCTCATTGCATGAGCGACAATGATAACTGCCATGTGCATTGTGGTATGACACCGGAGCCAAGAACCAGCCAGCACAGCAGCGCATGAGAGAACGTGAGCCATGTCACTCTGTTCCAGCCCCTGGGCTGTGCTCCAGCTGCAGCCTGGTCACAGAAAAATTAAAGGTCCTTTTCAAATTTAGACTATGCCGCCCAGGAAAGCTACGAAAACCTTCAGGCACAGCGATTCCACAGCCTCTCTAGTTTATCATGTTTGGGCTTGGGTTTTTTTCCCCTCCCCTCATATCTAGTTGTAATACATCTCGTCCCAGCTTTTTACCACTCCTCATCCTTTCACTGTGCACGTCTGAGAAGACTTGACCTGTCTTCTCTATACTCCCCTATGGCAGTGGAAGACCACCATCAGACTCCCTTAGC